TTGTCCTCAAGGTTCTTGGATTGAGCACGAGTGGTTCTTCCCATTTTGGTGGGTGTTTTGAGCTGAAGGGAGGGTTTCTTACTTGATTGTTTGAGCTCTCAATGAGAGCACCAAATGATGGATAGTGTACCCGGGGGGTAGCTTATCCGAGGGGTTACTGCGGGGAGTAACTAGAGAGAAGTCAGAGCAAATAAGTAAGAGAGAGAAAGTATTCGATTATGTCAACTTGTTGTGCTTTACAATGGGGAAATGAGCTGCTATTTATAGCAGCAATGAATGCTAGATAGGGACACATGTCAGCATTCTGGTGGTCGAGGGGTCACCTCAATCGGGGTGGCACTGGCACTCGCATGTGGCCGCATTAAATGCGGTGGTTGGATGTGACGTTTGTACATGGTGCGGCTATTCAGCGCATGTGGAGAGGAGATTCTGTCGGGGAAGATGCCTTCGGCTATAGGTGACAGGCCGAAGGCTCTTCGTACCGGGGGCCTCCTAGTACCGAGGGCTCTTAATGCCGAAGGCTTGGTTTTTAAGACCTGTTCTGCAGTGATGTCTCTGAGCACGATTTTGTCACTGGTAGCCTTCGGCCATGGGGCCGAAGGCACCCCTACATGTATCGTGGGCTGCTTAGGGCTCCATCTTGCTGGGCTTAGCCTGCTTGGGCCTGTTGGGCCTGATTGTACTAGTGGAAGTATGTGGGCCGGGGGTCCCCGGGTCATATACTCCATCAAAATCATTTTTATTAGGGTTATAAAAAATGAAATGACTAAAAAAATCATTTTTATCATTAGCAAGAGTTTATTTCACTGAATAAGAGAATAGCATCGTGGGAGTCGTAGCATGTTGTCATCCTCTGCGCAAACCAGAAGAGGAAGGAAGAGAAGCAGTCCAACCGGAGCCTTCGACATCTCCCATCAAAACGAATCACCGGAAGAGTGAAGTACGAGATCACCGGACTTGTTAACGACGGAGAGAGAAGAAACCGGCAGACTGACAAAGGGTTACCCAAGGACGACCATACCATTGTCATCGCTCTTGAATGTTGTCGATGCTTGTCGCCTGGTGCTACTAGCTTGAAATCCGTTGCAAAGCTCATCGAGGGAAGAGTCCCCGGTCTCACGCTGGAGTGACGTTATAGAAAATCGTTGGAGAAGAAGAAGTTGAGCGGCCGAGACTTTTCCGTCGCTGTGTCCACCGGATCCGCCACCAGAAGGAAAAGCGTTGTTGATCAACTGCAGTTGACGACGGAGTTGCGTTGCCGTGCGCAGGGACGGAGGTGTTGAGTTGATCGATGTTGAAGTTGATTTCGAGAGAGAGCTTCCGCTAGAAAATATATTGTAGTTATCATTGTACTTTATTTTCAAGACAATAATTTGAATTGAGTTATTTTAGCCTGTGCATTCAGTTAGGGCAGAACCGAGTGTGGCGGTAGCACCCCTATTTCCCTTTGAATTTTCCGTTGCACTTTTTCTGATGTTTTCAACTAAAGTAAGTAATACTTTCCAATAAATCATTATTTAAATGTAAAAGAAGATGTAATTTCACATAATATTAAATGTAAACAATGAAAAAAGGAGTTTAATTGTTCAATTAATTTAAGTAAATATTGAATATGTTTGGTTTTTAAGATTAAGGTCATAAATGTTTTAAAAGAAAATTCAATTTTTGCCAAGCAATTTGTTTTTTGCTGAAAGAAATACTCCAGTAATTATTTATTTGAATTATGGATTCTCTCAAATATGTGAATTTATGGTGCATTCTACGTATCTTTTGTAGGTAATAGATATTATTTTATGCACTCAGGCTCCATTTAATCTCTCATGTTTACTTGGTTGTATTTTCTTGTAAATGACTGTTTTAATAATTTTTTATATCAGATTTGAGGATGTGAAGGATCAATTGAGAAAGCGTATATTCAAGAAGCATGAAGTTTGAAGAATTAACTTTATTATTGCAAATGGTTTATTTATACAACTGAATATATATGCTTTAATTCGTCCAACTAATACAGGTTTGGCAGTTATTTTTCACAGTTTCATGGGCCATTCATCCTTCAAGATAATTAATTAATAGTTTCATGGGACTATAGCTTGGCTTGATTCTGTTACTAACCTTCCTCTAAAGGTAATCAACATTATTACTTACTTAATCATTGTCATGGTAAAGAAAAAAGTGTATAAATGTAAAAAATATATAATTAAAAATATATTATAGAAACAAGTGTATGAATATGAAAAATATTTTACAAATTTAAAAAGTGTATAAATGTAAAAAATATTACACCAAAAATAAATGTAATAAATTAGTAAAGAAAAAAGTTAATTCAATTGTAATTTAATTAGTTAAAGATAAATACTAGAAAAATCAAAATTGGTTTTTAATATTTGGATGGAAAGAAGAAAATAATTAAAAACAAAAAAGAAAAATAAAGAGATAGCACTTCAAAGAAATCTGCTTGAGCTTTGAAGGGAAAAAAGGAAAATAACGGGAAGGGAAAACGGTGTTGTATGTGGTACGGTTATACCATGTGCATGTTATACCGGTACCACAGTATAATTTGCGATTACATATAAAGTTCTGTACATTTTTTACAAAAAATAAGGGTTGGGCGATTCCCCAGCCAGATGTTTCATCACTTGTGAAATCTTTTATTGAAATAGTTTCAAATAGTGTGTACAAAGAAATTTTTCCCTTTTACAAAATTTAGGAACCAAAAAACCTGGAGTTCCATTTCGGTCCTTAGAATGAGGGCGGTTAAGGTCTGAAATGTAAAAATTATAATGGCGAAAACAACTACAACAATTTTAATAAAATTAATCTTATCTATAAAATATGACTAAAAGTCAAGATACTATAATGTCATGATCACTTAAGTGTCAAAAATGATCACAAGTTACTATGACCAAAATTACTGCATAACAATATACAACAAGGTCAGAGTCAGGGCACTGGGCCGGATTGGGCCGGTACAAATAATATTTTTCGAAAAAAATTTACATGAAATTTTTTACCTTAAAAATTAAGTCATTTTTAAAATTTGGAGTGGGCCATGGCCTAAGTTGGCCCACCCCTAACTCCGCCCATGAATATACTTGAAGGTCACATTTTTATAGACAATCATTGTTTTAGTCAGAAATATATAATTAATTTATAATTATTTTACAATACCTACAATAAGCGGTAGTAAAGTAAAATAAGGCCCGTTTCGTAACCCCTTTTTCGGCTTATCAAATCTATCACCAATTTTTTCACCAAACACGTAATATTTAATTTCGCGCGCTGAATACATTATTAATATGAAAAAGTAAGGTTGAAGATATTTTTCTGATTGTATGGGCTGAAGTTACTTTAGAGGACCATTTTAGTTCTTTTTAAACATAAATTTTTTCTTTATTATATTAATAAAATACTTCCTCCGTATTTAAAAGGTCTTGGCGCACCCGCACGGGTAGCTCAGTTGGTCGAGTGGTGGGAGATTTGGATCAATGGACCAAGGTTCGAAACCCCGCAGCGACCGGGTGGGGGTCACATAACCTAAAATAAGGCTGGGCCTCTGGTGCGCACGGGTGTATGGGCCTACTGTCATTCTACTGACTGAGTCACCGTGACTAACCTCTTCACCATTCTGTCGGGTCGGGGTGGAGGCTCCTGGGGTGGGAGATTCCACCTTATTGGATCAATAAAAGGTCTTGGCACGATATTTAAGGGCGAAATAATAGGGGTAATAAATATTGTAGATAAAGTAGGAAAGAAAGTGAAAAAGTAAGAGAAATAATAGAAAAAGTAGAAATGAAAAAATAGAGTGTAATTGAGTATTTTTAAAAGAAAAACTTATTAAAAATGAAAAGTGTAACAAACTTTTAAATACACAATATAAAATAAATGTGATGATTTGAATCTCATACTTTGTACATAATATGCATTTGCATATTACAAATCACTTTTTCTACCATACTTATTTTACTATATTAGCAATCATTTCTCCAAGTAACTCATATCATTTCATAAAATAATTTATAGTGTATTTTATTAGTGTGCCATATGTTTTTAATTTAAAAGATATTACTATAATTTTGTTTTAAGTAATATCCCACACCTTGCATCACACGGGTGACGGGTGGCATACTAGTTCCACAAATGACCTTCCACTATATCTTTCCCAACATCTACTTTCTCTCTATATAATATGGAGTAATTTTTTTCAAAGTTTGATTGAATCAAAAAAACAATATAAAAAAATTATTTGCCAGACACAGATTTGAATGGAAAAATCTCGTTTTTATTAAGATGCTGAATGAAAAAAATACGCTTATTTAAAAAATTTGAATTTCGCACTATTTTTGTCCAATTAAAAATAGTACACTTTATATTGGTTTTACTGCGCGACATTGTTGCGCTTCCGGTAAGAATTACTGCACTTCCCACCAACATTACTTCTCTTCTCATTCACGTTAGGAGTTTATTTATAGTTCTTATTTATATTTTTATAGAATTAATAATTTTAGTATTTTATGTCCAATTAAATATTATCAGGATATCAAGGTGTTTTAAACGAAAAAATACAAAAAAGGAAGTGTATCACACTTTTAAATATAGCTAAAATAGGAAAGTGTAGGCGCGTAGCAAACTTTGAATACGGGAAAGTATTATATATAGAAATTAGTTCAAATAGGACTAAAACTATGGCAAAAATCTAAAATAAGACTTGATATGTTTTTATTTCAAAATAGGACCATATGAGTCCTATTGGAAATATACCTATTTTTGCATTCCATTCTTACCCTTCCATTAAATATGAATTAAAAATAGTCAAAAGCCATAATTAAATGTTTAATTCATAATAAATTCGAAAAAAATTCAAAAATTCGTAGAAATATAATTAAAAAATTTATCAAATTTTTATAAAATAAAAAATTCAATTTTTTTTAAATAATTTTATTTTAAAAAAATTAATAATAAATATTAAAACTCCGTAAAAAAAAAATCAAAAAAACATGGATGCCTTTCCCACCGCCTGTACTACCTCCCAGCACCACCACCTCCGACCCATGAAAAAATGTCATTTTCCCCAAAAAATGTCATTTTTTTCTGAAAATGCCAAAAAAGTGGCATATTTCTCTTTTCGAATGCCAACATTTTCATTTTTTTCTGCCATAAATATGGCATTCGTAATGAACTTGGCATTTTTTTCCCCTGGTGACTGGAGGTGGTGGTGCTGAGGCGGCAGGCGGCGGCGATTTTTTTTTGAGTTTTTATTTTTTTAATTATTTTTTTTTAAAATTTTTTTTTAATTTTTTTAATTTTTTGAAAAAAAAAAATTGATTAAATTTTTAATATCGAAATGTTTTTCTTAATATTTTAGTATTTTTTACGAATTTTTATTATTTTTTATTATTTTATTAGGAATTAAATCATTTTAATAGCTATAGCCTATAAGAGTATAATTGTCCAAGGTACACATAATTAGTCCTATGCAAACATAGTTTATTTTTTGGTCCTATTTGTGAAAAGTGTATGACTTTTAGTCCTATTTTGATAATTAACTCTATTATATACTCAAGAATTACGGAGTATTCAATTTTAATACAATGGATTGCTATTTCTAAAATACCGTAGAATTTGCATTTACAAAAAGAAAATTCTTCCATTGGCTCTCTAGTATACAATTTTTTTTTTGAGAAATAATCCCACACCCACCCAACTTATAAATTCATTCAGGTATGCTCTGGTCAACGGTGACAAAGACTTTGGCCGCGACTTGAACGTCCGACTCAATCACCACTCGATTGTCCGACGTGTTTCTCAACACATGTTTTGGAAATGACTCGCTCGAACTAAACGTGTACTGCACGAACTTCGCAAGATCAGGGAAGAGAAGAATCGGGTTTAGATCAACGGTCCATATTGTTCCGTTTCCTTCGGCACTACCCCTTGCCACGGTGGACTTCAGATTCATCCCTCCCACGTTGTTTCTGTCCACCACGACTTGTTCGATGGTCTTAAACGGTGTCGTGTCGTCCAGCTGGACAATACTGACGCCTTTTCCGGAACCGGAGAACATATTGTCAACGATGTTGACCCCGATGACCGTACCGGCGACGGATTTCAAAGAAACGAAGGCATCGCCGAGGAAGAACGAGTTGGAGATGTGGAGCTGGACGGGATCCTCGGCGACGATTCCGGTGTAATCCATGTAGCAGTTCACGATCCTCGTCTGGGTCTTTCCGGGGAGTTTTATGTAAATTCCGGTGCCGCCGAATCCCGTCGCCTTGTTGTAACAGTGGATGCCGGAGAGCAGGTTTGCTTGGCCGGAGATCATGACCCCGACGAGGGCGGAGAAAATGACGACGTCCGTGACGGCGTTGTCGTTCCCCATTAAGTTTATCGCCGTGCCGGAGAAATTCCGCTCGCCGGGATCTCCGCCGGCGGTTATGTGCTGGCCGAGGAAGGAATTTCTGATGTAGGTCTCGTGACCACTTTTGACCAAAATGCCATTGGTAGTAAAATGGGTAATGTAACAATTGTCAACGCTGATTCGTAGAGAATTGACCACTTGAATGCCCCCTCCCCTGAAGTTAGAGTCCAGCAATAGGTCTTTGAAGGTTATGAACTCAAAATTGTACGCTGGGCCGTTGACGGAGGCGGCCGATAAATCTACAAGGTATCCGTCCACCGGGAATACTTCCGATGACCTTAATGTACCACCGTGTATCTGTTGCAACATCAAAAGTATCATAGCATGTTATGATTTCGATATATTTCAATCAACGAGACCAATTAGACTAGATTAGACTTAAACAAATTAAGAAAAATGCACAAGAGTTATCCTAATTATTATTGATTGAAATAATCAAAAGTATCAATAATTTCAAAATAATTCCAAGTAGATATTAATAGTTAAAATTATTCCTCTCCAATTTTCAACAAATTAAATCATGACAATGCAAGGGAAGTTCAAAATCAGATGACTCTAAACATGCCCATAATAATTATATTGTGCCATTAGTTTTGTAAACTATTCGCTGAAAAACTTAATCATTAATTTATTTGTACTATTATTTTCTGACATACTATTTATTGTATGTGTTCCATAATAGCTTTATACATATAAAGCTAAGATTTATCGGATTTTATAATTAAGATAAAGGGTGTAATAACAGCCACGGAGCCACCTATGTCATCAAACCATTACTAGCACATACGAAGTATGTAAATAAGACTTGAAACAAATTAAATCAATTAACACTATAAGTCTAAACAACAAGATTTTAATAAGTTAGGAGTATTTGATTCAAAGATTTAAACAAATTAGACAAAACTTAATTGTCTAATCAAATCAATTTGTGAGATAAATTTATTGTGCCAGGAAGATTTAAAATGAAATAAATAGAATTAATAAAAGTAGAAATTGAAAAGAGAAGAAATCATATGAATCCTGGAAGAAAGAAAACAGAGAAGGGAGAGGAGGAGGTGGATGACAATTTGTATGTGTTCCATAATTATTGTATGTGCCAATAGCTTTATATTGTGCCAATTTGTCATCCACCTCCTCCTCCCCCTTCTCTGTTTTCTTTCTAGGATTCATATGATAAACTTAATGGGGATTAGACAAGACACTGTCCGTTCAAATAAACATAACATAAAATCTTATTTGTTAAAATATATTCCCTCAGTTTCTAACTCACACTTTCTTTATGTAAAGAAAGTTACACTTCCCTTATTTTCTTATTTGGTAAAGAAATCTACATCAAAACAGTTTCAAACAGTGTCAAACAGTGTCTAAACAGTGTTTTCTACAATAAAGTTAATTTATTTCCTTAATAATTGTGAAGTCAAACCGTGACTTTCTTTTGGAAACGGAGAGAGTACATGAAACCCAAAAAATTTATTTTCATTTAAATATATTGACCAAAGACATTTATCACGGAGTATAATACTCCGTAATACGGAGTAGTATACGGCACGATATATGGAGTATGAATTGGTGCACGTATGGTAAAAGGTCGTTGGAACATTATGGTAGAACCGTATAACTAATTTAGTGCACGTCTGGTTTCACTTATTCACATCATGTAAATGTACTACATACCGTATATAATACTCCTTAAATACTCAATAGTATTGGTCAAACAAAAAATACTCCATAGTAGATTTAGTATGGTGTAATATAATCAGGATTAAATAAACAAAACGATAAATAATTTCGTAGTATGAATTTAATCATGTAATGCAATAGTGGGCGATTTGATGTACTACAAAGATGCATACAAATGACAATTTTTTGAAATATAAATAAAATCATATCTAATCTAAACTTTTCAAAAGAAAAAAAGACTGATATATAGTTAAAAAATAAAATGAATGTACTTGTATTTGATAAAAATATGACTCGATCAGCCCTTATATTTTAATGATTACACCAGTAATTTTATTAGCTATGATTATATTCAAATAATGAAAAATATTCATAGTAGTATACTAGTATTAGTTAAGTAAATCTTTGTAAATTGTAACTACCACGGGCAGAGTTAGGAGGAACTAATCTAAGCCTCGATCTAGGGATGGACCGGTTCCGGTCTACCCAACCCGGGAACCGGACCGGCCCGCCACTATGCATGACCGGCCCAGCCTAGTTGCCCAGGATCACACCCAGGCCTAGGACCCGACCCGGGGGCGGGCTCGGACTACAAGTTTCTTTGGAACCGGCCAGGCCAGTCCCGAACCAGTATGGGCCATTTGTTTTCAAAGTCTTTGGGTGGTAGGCGGGGTTGGGTTGGGTATTTTGGAGGGGTTTGGGGTGGGGGTGTGGGGGGAGGGGGTAGGAATTAATTACAAAAGTAAAAAAAACCGCTATCCGACCCGGTTCCGGCCCATCCCGATCCCGGTAGAATTCCGGGCCGGTTCTGAGCCTTAACAGTTAACCCCCAATACAAAAGCCCGATTTGAACGGACCCGTCCTGGAACCGGTCCATGCCTACCCCAACCCAACTCAAATTTGAAAAATATCTTAATTATTACTCCCTCCGTTCCTAAATAAACTTCCAACTTTCCTTTTTCGTCCGTTCCAATTAAAACTTCCACTTTCCTTATTTGGTAAAGAATTTGTGGTTCACAACATTTCTTACATATTTCTCTCTCCTCTGCACAACTCTCCACCACACAATATCCACTATCTTAAATTTTGTGCCAAACACATTTGGAAGTTAAAATGGGAACGGAGGTAGTAATATAAAAAAGTTCATGAAAAAAATTATTTAAATTTTTTTGTACCCGTCCGGGCTGAACCATTGACTACGCCCTACACACTCCATCTTAGAGAGTATTTGAGTGACTTGTTTGCAAAAGTATGACACGACATTTTTTATGTCTCTGAGCATCATACCAACTCGACAATTATCTAGGAAGGTCTAACTTCATAAAAGATAATGGGATTTCATTGCAAGTAATTACTTGAAGATTGAATCTGAAACCTCTTTCTTAGCCTGTGACACCCTTTTGTACTAGGTGAGATATGCCCCGGTTATCTGTTTACAAAAAGATACACTTTGACGCCTTGACGGGCCTCACCTTAGTCGCCAACCCGAAACGCGAGAAATACAGGTGTTAAACCGGTGGGCGTAGCTCAACTGGTAGCAAGGAAGTGTCACAAGGGTTAGGTCCCGGGTTCGAATCCCGAACATTGCGATGAGAGATTACTACGCTAAAAATGCATAAGGTCTTTGCAAGTACCGGTGACAGAGCCTCATTCTCTATTTATCAAATTGTTATTATAGTCCAACTTACATCCTCCCAACGTACCGTCAGATCGGGGTTAAGGCTCTCAGGGATGAGGTGTCATCTTTTTTTCCCTAGAAATACAGGTGTTAAAATGCAATACTCAGTAATAAATGCATCCTAACGTCCATAATAAATTACAGTGGTCTGTAATTTATGATACTCAGGAGATGGACTTTTCACTATTGTTGTTGGTCTATCCTTTTCGGGGGACGGTCCACCTAACAACCCAATCGGAAAGCATGGAAGACTTTTGAACACTTTGCACAACTATTCATCTAATAAAATCGTCTAGTCTCAATCTATAAGTAATGTCAACTTAGATCGAATTTGAAGGTAATTTACCTTAGAGTGCTCTTTACGTTTCTACCTTAAATTTTGATTTACACCAAAACAAATTCTACAATAACCCGAAAATACCATACGCTGTGCACCTTGACTAATTAATACACGTTAGATTCTATAGTATTCGTGAGGTATAATACTTTTTTCTACGTGAATCAATGGGAATGTTGCAGTTTAATTACTTAAATCTAAATTAAAAATAATGTAATGATGTGAACCAATCAAACGAATGATAGGTATGGTACCTCATTTTTTAAATAGGTACCAGAATTGTCACTTTAATACATTATATTTGATTAGTTCTAAGTTCGCATACAATTAAATAATGAAAATGACATGAATTGATAGACAAGTTTCAATGTTCTCAAATTGACTAATCCTTGGGTTATTATGATTTCTTTATTCGGAACAAATTTCAATCATTATTTTTTACCTCAAGATTTCATGTGCCAATTAAAGTCATCAAATTTGTGTTCCAAAAGGTTGAATCCCCAACTCCAAAGATACTCCACGTTCTGAGCTAACAAGATATTTGAGAAGTTGTAAGTCGCCGTGACTCAGTCAATACAACGATGATAGATCATGAACATGTGCGCATAGGTCCAACCCAGCATGCATGAGCTATAATCTCCGCACGAACTTTGCGTGTTTCAATCTTTAGCCAATGTTCCAACTTTTCCACCACTCAACTAATTGAGTTGCGCTACTCGTGTAGGTAAAGTCATCAAATTCTAATGGGAGGGAGGATACTTATAAATTCTACAATAAGTTAACATATTTTTTGAAAGTTACATTAAGTTAACATTAAAAAATTACATATTCACTCAAATTATTAAGAATAGCTTCATGACAGAAATTAATAAGGAGCATAGTTAATTCAAAAGACTATTCAATTCCAAATATCAACTTTTCAAAACATAAATCATAAAATAGAGTTGGAGTATATGTCACGTACAATGAGATTCCCTCGGCCGGTGACGGGAAATTTCAATGACCGGGAAACGACGTAGGTCCCACCCTGGAGATCAATCCGGGCACCGCCGAGATTCCGAATCCCGGCGAACAAGAACCCCTCCTCCTCTTCCCCGCTCGGACCATTCAGAGCGTCTGTAATCGCAGCCATTATTGCTTCCGTACTGTCTTCTTCCCCGGTTGGATCTGCGCCGTACGATGTCACTCGGTACACCCGTGGTGGGAAAATCGTGGCCGTCTAAAAAAACATTAACATCATGTCCTCTAAAAATGACACAAATAGTAGTCCAAGACTTTATATGTTAGTTTTTCGAGTAACTAAGACTCACCGATGGCGAAGAAAGCCGTCTTTCGAGCAATGTAGGACGATCTTGCGGGTACGGTGAAGACGATGAAACCGAATGGGCTGATGATTTGATGAGAGATGCCCGGAGATTTTGCAATTCTTTTGTTTGGTGATCATGTTGAAACCTTCCCTCGACTTGAAAGTTACACAAAGTTATTGTTGTTAATGTTATTATTATTATGGCTAAGGACATTCCTTTTGCCATTTTCTCATAGAGAAGGAGATAAAAGGGAACAAAAACCAGACAGGGAAACAGATTGATTGATTTGTAAGAGAGTGAGTTTATATATAGGAAAGGAAAGTGGAGTAGACATCTTCCTTGAATGCAGCTAAAACCAAAACCGTATCGTATCTCTTTTGTTTTGTGAAGAAAGGTTGAATGTACGTATGGAGTATGGAGTGGAGTAGTGTATAAAAATACGTAGTGGGTTTGAGTATGCGATACTCCAACGGTCATTTAATCGTGTTGGAAATTGTTGCAATTTTGAGTTGGCGAGAAGAGAAGTGTAACGCGTGATTACGCAATCCCAGTTTCAAGAAATAATTCTTCCTCCTTATCAGCCCCGTTTACTTTTTCACGAAGTTTAAGACAATTATTGTATACTTTATAAAAAGTAAGAGGTTTTTGTTACTGTAACGGTACTGTAGCTGCTTTTTGAGTGAGATTCTTTCCAAAAATGAAAAGAGACAATTAATTTGATAAACCAAAAAAGGAAAGTGTGACAAGTAAATAGATAAGAAAGTAATGAATATACTTTTCGTGATCGTATATACCGAAGAGAAGTATATTGAGTTATTGATAGTGCCGTTCTTTAAGTAAATGCTGATGTACATCTTCAAATTTTAAATCTTTCTCACCTCCACTTTGGTTACTCATTTAATGTTTTTATTGATAATTTTGACCGTCACTCCTCTTAATTATCAGGAAATTATTCATATTGGTTCTGTTTGGTTTTCAGCGGATCTGCACCATCCCGCTGCTTTTAGCGGCGTTTTCATGTATAAAAGAATCAGCGGATTCATGCTCCCGCTGTTTATCCAAACGGACCCATTATCTGTAATCTATCTATTTATTTATAAATAATACATTTCAAAGATACAATTTAAAAAACTTTTGTCACATGTCATCTTCTCAACACTTAAATTCTATCACAATTTCAAAAATACTCCATATATATTATAACTCATACGAATGAAGTGTTTGAACAAGAATTTGACAGCTTATTTTACATTTAAGAGACTTGGTTGCGGCAATTAATAACACATTTATTAGGCTTAATGCTACTAGCTATTATAACGGTTTTTGTATGTATTATTGCGACTATTAATGTAATTAAGGCAGAATGTACTCAAATGGGCTGACCGATGTTAATGACGACTTAATGACGAATTTGAATGGCGTCATAATCGTCGAAACAGTCAATAACAGACAATAGGGGATCAATTACCTCTTTTATAAGTACGATCGAGCTCTATTGTAATAGAGAGGATACTCATTCGAATTATACATCAATTTACATTCTATTTTGCTCATTTGACATCTTTCTTGTTGTTCTTGTCGTCTTTCTTAGTGCTCTTGTACGAGACCCAATCAATATACAAATTTCATTTTAATTAGTTTTCGCTTATCAAAAAATTGTTTAAACAATTTGGCGCTCACCATGGGGCCTCGTGCAAGAGAAAATTCGAACATGGCATAAGCTAGCAATTCCGTGATGATAAAGTTCCATGAACATCTCAAAGCAGCGAAAGAGGAAATCCGACGGGAGATGCCTCAACGAATCACATTCATCCAACGAGAAAATGATGCGTTGCGGTCTCATGTCCAACTAGTAGCGTCCATAGCTTCCAACTCAAGACTCAACCGAAGAGGTGACGCTATGGCTGCAGCAACCAGGTCGGAATTGGGTTTCGTCCCGGTTATGTTAGAACTGTTTGCCAACACCACAATGGTCGTCTCCTTGACCTTAGCGCCTCTCACCGACCGGTGAGCCACAATCTACGGTAATCTCACAGGTTACCTCGTACATACCCCTCGTTCCGGAATCAACCCCCATTCCCAACATTCCGGCCCGCTTCTTCCCGAATTTGTTGAGAGTGAAGATTTTACAATATGTCACTCAAAGTTTACCGATGTCGACAAACACCTCACTCCCGTCCGAACCCTTTATCCCTCAAATCAACACCAGAGCCTTTGGAAACCCGGATCCGTCCAATCCCTCCGTTTCAGTACAAACCCCCCGAAGGAACGTATCCCACAATTTGTTTCCAAAACCTCAAACTCGACAAGTTTCCGAACATATCATTGTCCAGAACGAAAGGCGACGAGATACAGAGGTAATAATCATCCCGTCACCAACGCGATCAGAATCCACCCAGATGATTGGTCCTACGGTCTCAATGGCAGGACCATATCAAGCAAACTTGGCAGATCTGATGGCCATGATATTTTCCCAATTGTGGCAGATGTAGGACAAGATCAACGGTATTCCCGGAGTGCCGTCGCCTTTGGATCTAGCTTCACAAACTTGTTACACCGACTCTCCTTTTAGTCGACAAATCACAAATGTCGAGATCCCCAAGAAGTTTGTCTTTCCTTCCATGAAGATGTTCAACGGAACCTTTGGCCCATTGGAACATGTTGCCCAATACAAACAACGGATGCTGGCAGTTTCAGTTAGACCCGAGCAACGAGAGGCGTGCATGTGTAGAAATTTTGGAGCGACGTCGACAGGACCGGCCCTAACATGGTCCATCAACTTACCAAATGAAGGTATCGGCTCGTTTGCAGAGCTTGTCAATTTGTTCAACCAGCAGTTCACGAGCAGCAGAGTACCAGATTGTCCAACGACGGGATGAATCACTAAGAGACTACTTGCACCGCTTCAACAAGGAGATGGTGTGGATTCCAAAATGGATTACATTAATTTCCTATGAATGAGAATAAAAGATGCCTCTATTTTTCCAGGGTCGTCTTTTAGTAAGTGCAATATGAACTTGGCACGGGGACCCACTCTTGTGGGGGGGCTCTAAAAAATTAGAAGTATTAGTTATAGGGGTATTTTTCTAGATGTTATGTATTATTCAAGATTCCAAAAGATATATAACTTATAGATTCTCTAATTTCTGTATTTTAAATATCATAAAACTTATATTTCACTGAACTATCTAGTCTGTTTGTATATCTTTGTTAAAAATTTGTATTTTTTCTTGTTTAAGGGGTCTGAATTTGTCATTTGGAACCAGGGCCTCCAAATTCATTAGACGGCTTTGTATTTTTCATCTAAAAGGTATATATTTTCATAATCTGAAAATTACTTGTTTCTATGCGAAAGCGTCATTATCATGTCATTATTCATATCAAGTGGCATTCTTGTTGTAAGATGCATATACTTGTTAGGTAGTGGCGGCTTCATTGGAGGATGTTGGCTGTGAACACGATGAAGGGCGGCGGTGGCGATTGACTTACTAGAGGGTGGATGAGGCCTAGTGTGTACGCTTCTCCGCCTTCTCGCATAGCCATCGTCAAAACCTGGACATCAGCAAAGGGATGGGAGCCTAGGAAGACTTTTATTTTTTTCATTTAGGGTAGTCTTGTCATGTTAGTGCATATTCAGTCTTATAAAACATAGAAGTCCTATTTTTATACTTTGACTTTGTTGTAGTGGTATTTAGGGAATTCTCACTTAAGATAAATAATGAATGATTTGTATATGTAAAAAGTACTTACCGTGTAAGCATAAATTGAATTAATTAAAGAAAAATCCACAATTACTTCGATACTATGCAACTTGTAAATTAATACAAGTTGCATGTAGTCCACTATTCAACCCCTAGACTAGTAGAGTTAACACCATTTAGTATATATTTAACCCCTAGACTGGGCCTCTAGTGCGCACGGGCAGGGGCGGACTCACCCTAGGGCTAGGGGGTGCCCGTGCCCCTGCGGTGATTTATAATATGACAGAGTAATATATATTGGAAAATTCTCAGGTCCAGCACCTCCCGGTCCGAATGACGTCCGAACACCGTCGTTTGGGGCGGTTCCAGGTGTAATTTTTTTATTAAATTTTTTGAGCATGTTCCTCATAAAGTCTAGTTTATCCATACCAAATTTCAGGTCAAAATTCGACCGGAAAGGCAGTCAAATAATTCATTGAAGTTAACTGCGTTTTTCTATGTATAATTTGGCGCAGCTAACTTAAACGAATTATTTGACTGCCTTCCCGATCGATTTTTGAGCTGAAGTTTGGTATGGATAAACTAGACTTGATGAGGAACATGCTCAAAAATTTTCATCAAAATAGTCCGTCGGGAACCGCCCCAAACGCCGGTGTTTGGACGGTGTTCGGACAGAAAATTGATGGATAGAAAAGTTATGCCGATTGAGACTTATGATGTTAATATTAGAGATGAGTTGAGGAGACGTTATTTGAGAAAAAGTCCTTGCCAACCGCGTGACTTTAAATTTCCACAAAGTGATTTTAATGGGTGCAACAGATCATTCCAAAAACAGTGGTTTTATTTAAATTTTATAGTTTTATTTATTGCTATACTCGTGATGCATATGATTTTTTTCTAGACTAGTATATCATTTCTTTGTTATTGTGCCCCTGCGAGTCACGAGTCCTGGATCCGCCACTGCGCACGGGTATAAAGTCTTCCACCGTTAGGATTGGACGATTGGTTGAGTCACCGTGATTTACAACCTCCCATGTGCTCTATCGGATCGGAGCGTGGGGGGCCTTGGGGTTGGGGATTCAACCTTTTGGACAAATTGACCCCATGGAAATGAGAGACCTTGTTTTCATTACCGGTTTCACAAGTTATAAGCCCGGCACTAAGTGGCCATTATAGACAGCTTTGATTCAATTAAGGATTTGTTATTATTTGTTTCAATAACTTGGTTATTGAAACAAAATACAAAAACTTGAGACAATATTATTCATAACATAACGACAAATAGATAAGTTACTTCATGCTTCTCTCCACACTTTCCATTTTTGTGAATTGGCATAATCAGTCCATCGTATAAGTGGATATACGTTTATTGAACCCCCATGCATTGAGTATAATGCTTCATATAATAGTTTACAAAAGGATGATACTTTGAATAATTAACTATATTATTGATTGAATTCGATTTCTGTTCGTCGTTGTTGTTGTTGTTATGAAGCATTATATTACATTTAATTCAGGCATTTCTATTTTAGTTTTCAACTATTTTCTATTTTGTTACATTCAACATAGATCTCTATGCTGCAGTCATGGTTGTTGTGCTTCATTTTTCAATTTTATTGAGGTTATAACACAAGTACACAGTTCATCATTAACAACTTAACTGATAGCAACAGAAGATCAAATACTAGGGTTACTAATACCATGAATGTGGATTAATTGTTCAATATTAGCATAAATAAGATATAAAATCCCACAATGTAGCGTTCATCCACAACCTCAATCTTGTGCCTAAATGCCATAAAACAATCACCATGAGCTGCCTAAACCTTGAACACATTCCTCTTCTCTCATGCTCATGTTGTTGATTATAAATACTAAGACTTATTAGAGATTTAATAGGAATACACACATCCCGTCGACAAATAGGACAAATATTTTTAATCATCAACCATGAAGCAATACATATACTATGAAAAATATGCTTACAGTACAACATACTTGCTTCATCCCCTAACTCGAACTTTGTCAAACAAATGATACACTTCTGGTGGATGGCTAAATATGATTCTGAAACAATAATCGTTTGTATATTATTATGTGTTTCATCCATTAGTTGTTTCGTGCGCTTGCAAGTTGAATTTCAACGCCCCTCTAGTTCAAAAATTTAGAGCACATAAATATGCATGGACAAAAAGGGAGATGAAAATTATCCAAGCTCAGAGAAAAAATTAGAGCGCTCATACATGCATAAGGTGAATAAATTCTTAAATAGAATTCAAGCATAAAAAACGTCTATATTCTCATACATACGTATAGAATATACAAATAGAAGAGAAATACTTTTTCTAGGGTATAAATACTCTAATTTTGGAGAGGTATAAATTTTTTATTTATACGCTTGCTTTCTGTGTTGTACATCTGTGTATCCTTCATCTTTTACACGTATACATTAATTGTTTGATATGAAAGGTATACATAATATAGATGCATAAAAGAAAGAGATATGTAAATAAAGATGATTAGATTATATTTTGTGCAAGTTGTTTCATATAGAAATATTTCATCTGGAAAATAAGAGAACTTCAATTGTATATGTATAATATGGCCTATATAACATGAAGGAAAGTATATCTTTTTCTATGGGATTGGTCGATGTATATCTTATGCATTCTCATACCCTTCTTTATTTACAAGTATACTTTTTTGTATTGTTGGAAATGAAAAATAAAGAAATGTGTACAAAATTGTGAACCTTTAATGCATTGTGTAGTTTATGATACATAAAAAGGAATGCTATGATAAAAGCATACTACCACCATCTTTCATAGATTGAGACACGAGGAAGTGATGCAGTTATATTAAACAAAGGAAATTGTGTTATCAATATTGAATTAATAAATTATGACTAAGTAAAGTAAAAATGAATTAGAATTGTACTCGTATTACCAATAAGTATGCACCAAACTTATTGGGATGACTGATCAAAAAGGGCAAATGGGACAAATTGGAATGAAAGGAGTACTATTTTTTACTCATACAATTAACAATCTTAACTTAAAAACAATACTACCTCCGTCTAAAAAAACTTTGTCATTTCAAAAAATTTGAACATCGATTTTGATTAGTATAATATTTTGGAAATTATAAATTTTATACTTTTATGAAAGTACTTTTAAAAAAGAACATTTTCAAATTACCTCAGTCCCAATGGACTTTGCACTCCTTAAGTTAGGTGAGAAATAAGAATAGTGAAAATTGTCTGGTTAAAGTTAATGCAAAAGAGAGAGAAATAAGTAGAACCACAAAATAGTTATTTAATGGGAAAGTGCAGAGTTTTTTGGGATAACCAAAAAAGGAAAGATGGCAAACTCCAATGGGACGGAGGGAGTATATTTTTTATATTATGCGTAATTTTCAATAAAAAGATATAGTCAGTCAAAGTTTTGAAAATGACAAAGTTTTTTGGGACGGAGGTAGTATGAAATAGATAAAAGTGGTGGTAACAATTCGTAGTTTAAGATAGAGTGTCTTTAATTTCTTCCTAATTCCTATGGTTTCTATTAGTCATTTGTATTTGCACGCTCTTCTTCCTTTTAATATGTAAAATATTTGGTGAATAAAAGTTTGAGAGAATGAGTCAATAGATATTTGAGTGTACGTCAAAGTCATGATAATTTATGTAATAATAGTTACTCCACATTGAAAAGTAATAGATATCTTAATATTGTGTCGAGTTATGCTTTAATAAAAATTGTGACAAACACTAAAAGGAGATATTGGGACGCAAAAACTAAATAGAACTAAAATATAAGTCATTTTATTTTATGTAGTTAATTTTGAAATATGAGCTTGTTTGGTATTCTTGTTTATCGACTTATCAAGTTTATCGGTCAACTTTTTCACCAAACATGTAACTTTTGATTTCACATGCTGAAGTGTGTAATAATAATAATAAAAAGTATGGTTGATGTTACTTATGTGGTTGTATTAGCTAAAGTTAATGTAGATGATCACTTTAGCTATTTTTAATTTTTTTCCTTATTCAATTAATAAAATATATTTTAAATATAAATTTTTCATGAATAAGCAAAATCAGTCAATCCAGCCACTTCAACTAGAACTTCATAAATTTTAGCAGAATTAGTCGTCAATGCAGCTGATTTGGGTATACCAAACGGGCACATAATGTACTAGCTTATGTGGAAAACTATGGTTGATTTTTTATACGCTTTTAAATGCAAATTGTCCTCTACACTTATACTTTATTTGGATATAAAATATATGAAGACCGAGCTGAAGAGTGAAAAGAAAGAAATATGAAGCATGATATCATCTTATATATGGAGTATCTGTGAGCATAAAATGAGCAAGATGTCATAAATAAACAGGTATAAATTGCTTTTGAGTATAAATAATAGTATATAAAAAGAGAGAATTAATTAGTTTTCCCTCTTGTTTTTTTTCTCTCCGAAACAAATAAAAGATGTATTGTTAAATTGGAAGGATAAAAGAAGTATGATGAGGATGAACACATGCATGTATTATGCCATTTAGCATTATCTTTCTACGAGAGCGTCTATTTTGTCAGTTTTATGGGATCCAAAACCTCTATCTTGTTTTAAAGCAAGGTAGGTTGCTCGGCTTATAAGGGTCATCCAATAAAAAAACTAACGGCGGCAGATCTTGTAAGTTTACATCTCGAGGCGCATTCTTCCCCATCTGCCCGTTGGTTGCCACAGGCCACGTCTACCGCATGACAGAGGATCTCAATCTAGTTTTATTAGTCATATTTTTACAAAATAACTAGCCTCATCACCTTACGCAATCGATTAATAATGAAAAAAACAGAAGTTATGTAGTGGATGAAGTTGTTGAAACTAAAGATCGAAAAGAATAGTTTTACGTTTATTTTTACCTATATGTTAATATAAGTGAGTCCTTTTTTGGCTTAAGCACTAAAGCGTTACAACTCAACACATCCGGAGGCTGAAACCTACCAGCCATATTTGAAGAAGGCGATCAAATTTCATAACAAATACAACAGGGCTCTCTCTGCTTCAGTTGGGATTCCCACACAAAATTTCAATTGTTAAAATGTTAGTCTCTGGACTTGTAACTTCATTTACTTCTTGTACTCAATTGGCTTGTTTTCAATTTATTTCTCTTGTATCTTCAAACTTTTATTAATAAAATTGGGAAGTGTTCCCCGACACTCCCCCACCTCGTGTGGTTTGCTCCGGATTAAAAAAAAGTGAGTCCTTTTTTATGTATACCCATATTAGTCATATTTTCACAAAATATTAACCAGTTAAATTATCTTGGCTAAAGCTAAAACAAGTCTAAAATATAACTCATTTTAATTTATATAATCACTACTACCTCCATCCCAAAAAGATTGGCCAATTTAACTTTCTTGGTAATGGTGTTAAAGTTTAGACAGTGATTTTAGATATTATATTTGTGTGTAATTTATAAATTTTATACTTTTATGAAATTGATGGATATCCGATCTTGGGGGTAGGCGGAATCCGGGAAATGAGAGACTGAAAGTGCTAAGTAAAAATGAGTAACAAATTGGGTAAAGTAACAACAAGTTTGCGCAGAGAAAATCGGATCCAATTCAACATGTTAGAAGGTGATATTTTTACTAGAAAGGAAATACTTGGCGAACAAGTATAAAAGATGATATTCTAATGTGGTTATGGCACGTGTAATGTTGATTGGCGAGAGAGCGTGGACAGCTGGCTCATTGGTACTGGGTGCAACAGAATTTGCCCTTTGTGTACCAGAACGCACGTGCATGCCATATATGTTCTTATCCAGAATCTTTTGTACAAAACCGCCTGGGTGACGTAAGCCTTGGACAGTTGTCACGCGGGTGACGTGTCCCAAGTCATATGTGGATTCGGAGTGCTGAAATGCCTAAGTCCACAATTTTCTTACCAGGTCCCAAGCTCAACAGGTGAGGTCGAGCTTGAGTGTAGAGTGCTTGATAAGAGGAGAGCAGCCTTAGTCCGTGATATGCGAAATGACGATGCTTTCTCTGTTCTGTTAATTGACTTTGTTAAGTGTCAGTTGACTTCAAGCTCGATTGTGACGCCGGATTTGACGTTGGCCTCAGTGAGGGTCGACCTCTGCCTCAGATGCAGTTTTGGCATTATCTCTATATTTTGGGAGTCGAATGCTGGACCGAACTTGGTCAAGGTCAAGCTTGGAATCAGGGGACAAATGACTTAGTAACTTCTTGGAGACTCTTGCGGTGTGAATGTTGATACCCTTGGGGTATATGGGAATATACTCCACGGGTCCCTCACTCTCTGAAGCGAAAGTCACACTTTAGGTGATGGATAGTAACTTCTTTATTCTTCAAGGCTTGTACACTCGGCAGGGGCACTTATCTCCATGGTCACAACAAAGGGGTGCCTCCATAAAAACGTCGCTGAGGAAAAAACCATGTGGGAAAAAATCCTAACAGGGGAAAAATAGTACACTCCGCTTTGAGGTGAATCCCGGAAAAGAAGGTGATGCCCCGCTGCATATGAGATGAGCTTGAGCTCTGTGCTCCATGGTCAATGGTGAGCTGGTCTTTTGTGCCTGCAAGGTAGTTGCTACCTCCACGTCCATAGTCGAGGGTTGATAAAGAAAATTTAAGTTTTAAAGTAAAATTGACAACCTCAGTATAAGTTATACCTTTCTCGCATGATAACCGAGGTTGTTATTGTAGTCTGAGCCGAGTTTGAATTATTCGTGATATTTATTCGTTGTTTTTTGCCCAAGTCCCCCTTCTCTCTCTTTGCGCTCTCAGACTTTTGCTTTCTTGTTTTTGAACTTTCACAACTCTCAAACTGTCACGTTTTCTATGAGTTCTTTCTCCGGCCAAGGTCGTACTTTTCTGGATTCGACACTCATACTCTTTCCTAGGTTAGACCTCAGGCTCTTTTTGTGTTCTTATTTCTTCTTTGTTCATCGGAAAACCCAAATATGGGGTTTTCCTGTTGCTTTTTGGTTTTGGGCACTCGGTTAACCCTAACCCCGCATTGGGGCAATAAATTGTGCCCCGAGGCTTGGAATCGCACCAAGATGCAGATTCCGGACTTGGATTTTTTATTTGATCCAGGATTGGGTTCCAATAATCCTAATTTCTTGTTTGCGCACTCCGTAACTTTTATTCTGCATATTCTGGATATGGTTTCTCAGTCTAGTTATGCTAACACCGGTGACATGGTCAA